TGGGGGTGTTCAGCCTGGAGAAGAGAAGGCTGCGGGGAGAGCTGAGTGCGGCCTTTCAGTACCTAAAGGGGGCCTATAGGAAAGGTGGGGACAAGCTTTTTAGTAGGGCCAGCTGTGACAGGACAAGGGGGGATGGCTTTAAACTGAAGCAGGGTATGTTTAGACTGGATCTAAGGAAGAAATTCTTTACAATGAGGGTGGTGAAACCCTGGCAGGGGTTGCCCAGAGCGGGGGTGGAGGCCCCATCCCTGGGAACATTCCAGGCCAGGTTGGACGGGGCTGTGAGCAACCTGATGTGGTTCAAGGTGTCCCTGCTCCTGCAGGGGGGTTGGGCTGGGTGACCTCTAGGGGTCCCTTCCAACCCAAAACATTCTATGATTCTATAATATACAGTATGTACCTTGCTATATTTATTACAGAGACATCATACTGCCACCATGGAATGTAAGCGAATAGGAGAAAACAAAGTTTTTACAAATTGGCTTTATCAACACATTTATTGTTGCGATTGCTGTTGGAGATACAAGGGGTTTGAGTGTAAAACAGCATCGGCAATTTACAGAGAAGGGTTTTAACACCTCATCGAGGATGATGGGAGCTTTCCAGATTTAAATGTTTTAAAATTTCTATAAGGAATGATACTGCAGAAATCGGAGCTAGATCATATACTTTAAAAGCATTAGAACACCAAATCAAGGTTTAAGTTTCACAATATGTATTTTAAATGTTACATTTAAATGTTATTCAGAAGAACACTGTAAATAAAGTTACAAAATATAGTAATCCAAGAGTCTGAAAATCTATAGTAAAAATAAGGAGCCCGTGTCTTCATTAACAATGAATAAATATAACATTTAAATAGCTGCAACATACCAAATACTCATCTCATGCCTTAAATAAAAAAATAGATGTTTATATCTCTCTCAGTATTTTAGGAGTCATTTAGTGCTACTAAAGGCTTCTAAATTACAAAGCTGGAGGCTGACAAATATACAGGATAGAAAATGACAGCAAAGCATTCACGACACTCTCTCACAGACACGGCCTCCGCGTTCTGCCCGAGGCTGAACAGCAGCTAGTTCAGACTTTGTCATTTTGGGCAACAGCAGCAAAAAGAAGTCACTGATTTTAGAACTGAGTTGACAGTCGAGGGGAAGATAAAGGGATTGTACTCTACTATATCCCCTAAAAACCGGGATACGGTAGCGTCAATCAGAAAGAACCAGACCCTGACACCCACTCCCCCGGTGCGCAATCGTTTAGGCTGCCAGCTTTGAGACAGTGTACCATACACAAAACAGATATAGGGCAATTCTCTAATACCATGTACTAATTTTTTTTTTCCCCCCGCAAGAACCCCTCGATATGAGGTTTGTAGCTGCAATACACAGGCCACCACCTGGAGAGAGATTTCAGTCATCTTCCCGTTAGTCCTTGGGCTTCACCACGTACTCCCGAAACATGGAATACAGCACACCTACAAGACAAATACAAGCACAATTAGAAAGCTGGGTTAAATAGGAGATAATGGGTTTCAAAATCTGAACAGTAAGAGATATTCTCAGCAATAGAAATAACATTTCCTTTTCTCTTCTGCTGTATTTTTTTTTTAATAGCGGTGACGAACGCTACAAAATTCTTCATAAAGGGAGAAAGCGGATAGGAAAATACACCGTACATGAAAATGTGGATCCCCAGCCAACTGTAGTTGGCTTTGCAGCTGAAGTCAAGCTCTTCTGTTGTACCTTCTGGGAATGCAGTAGGCAAACGGTGTTTCATGGGATACACATTGGCACACATACAGAGCTGCAATGCTTAGATGTGACCGGGGATGTACAAATCAAGTACATTCAGGGACATAATTCCAGTCCTGAAAATACTACTACGCAAGCTGATGTTCCGATGCATCAAATTCAGAAACAGCAACATATTTACAAGGGAAAATACTAACATCAGATCGGGTTTTTTTTTGTCTTTGCCTCCAATTTCAACACCCACAGAACCCCACATACTTCCCACATCTAAAAGCAGTCAAAACTTCTACGCTCAAAGGTAGCGCAGTTTAATATTAAATGTATGTACTTAAACATCACGTTACTCTAGAAAGGCTGAGCATAAACATCCTCAAATACGTCAGGGACACTTCCACCCCGAGGATATTTCATGCACACCGTATTACCCACCAGGAGAAGAGATGCCAGAGGTTCTCTGTGGTTTGCCAGCGCCTCCCGTTCGTTACCTACCACACGTTATCGCTCCCACGACGAAGCCCTGGGCTGCCACGCGCATGTGAATCAGGTGAAGCGACATTTTCATGTCACCTCTGTGCTTCAGTCTGTACAGCCCGTAGCCAACCACCATGGCAAAGCCAGCCATCCCTGCAAGGCAAGGCGAGCATCCTTGTGAGTTGAGATCCAAGTCATTGAGATGGGTGAAGTGACCTAAACAAGGTATCTTGGGGAAAAAAAAAATCATGTTTTGATCTAATCCCTCTGGTTTTGTACAGATGGCAAGTCCTGGCCTGTCTACTGTTTTCACTCGAGTGGCGTCTAATTCAATGCACCAGGCAGCACAGAGAACAGTGAGGGATTTCCACCAGCGTTAAAATGCAACAGCAGCAACTCAAGTGTGTAGAACATGAGTCTGATGGGGAGCGGCTGAGGGACCTGGGGTGTTCAGCCTGGTCCCCACCCCTGGGGGGATTTAACAGCCGGGCAGAGGTAGTGCTGAGGGCCAGGGTTTGGGGGTGGGATAGCAGGGGTAGGGGAATGGTTGGGCTGGGGGAGCTTAAAGGGCTTTCTCAACCTGAACGATTCTGTGATTCTAAGGTGTCAGAGTTTCCTGGGTATTTTTCAGAAAGCACATGTGCTGCTTGCACCCTCTTTCCTGGGAGGAAGCTCACACCCAAGAACACCACTCAGCTGCAGCTGGGACACACGGTGTGTGGATGCACCCTGCCGTACCCACCGGCCTGCTGAGGTTGCTATTTTGGGCATTATCACGTTTGGTCTGTGGGACAGGACAAGTCACACGTTACTCGTCCCACGCTGTGGGGAGAGATGTCCAGCAAGGTCTGTCACAGGGCAGGAGTTCATTTTCAGTCCTTCAACAGGCTGAACGCAGCCCTGGAAGTGCCAACTCCAACCTCCGTACGCTGATGCTCTCACAGAATATGGAGCAACAATGCACAAAGTTTCCCAGTTCCATCCACTGTATTCCATATTTAGGATGGTTATTTACGTAGTTCCAAGGAAGCTGCCAAGTTTTAAGGGCTGTGTATATTTTATTGCCAAGAGCCTGGACAGCTTGTCTCCCTGAACATGAGTATTACCGATTCCACCTGGGAAGGTATAAACCCTTACTTCACCAGCACACGATCCACGTGGTAGCTTCATTAAATACCAATTAAGAGTTTTACAGCCTTCACACTAGCTTTGACACAGGCTGAAGATAAGTTCTGCCAATCTGCTTGGGAGAACCCGGACTCGCAGAGTCCGTAGTACACTTCAGCAAGCTGGAAAGCAAAGTCCTGTGACCAGAGAAACCAGTGACGGATACGTGTTGGCAAATGCTTGGAACAGTTCACCCCGAGTGACCTGACTGCTCTCTGCTTAAGGTGGCTGGAAATCAAAATGCGTCTGGTGTCAGAGGCAGTTCCCGATCAGAGGAAAGCTCTCCGGATGAACGCAACTGATCTTCTCTCTCCTCAGAGGCTTTTTTGGGGTCTCTGCAGTGACACTGAGAACTTTAACAACCTCCTCAAGCTGGGGTACCTCAAAACCTACTAAGAAAATGCATTTTAAACTATGGGATGGCAGCAGAGAAGGGTGAAAGGTTTAGCAGGTGGGCTGTATTTTAGATACTTCTGGTTTGTATTTTGTTAGCTTGAAAGTCACTCCGTAGCGATCACACAGTTCCCAGTAACCGTCCTCCGGAATGGCTGCAAAACGCACTCCTTACCAAAACCAGGATCATCTAAGCATGCTTGCTAAGCTCACCTAAACAGTTTCAGGGTTTGTTGGTTTTTGTTTTTTTTTTTTTTTTTTTTTTTGCTTGTTTGTTTTTTGTAATTGTAGCTTCTGGGTTTCTATTTAAGATAACAGACCTGACTAATTTCCCTGTTTCTTGCAGAACAAATACCACTCCCGGCAGGAGGCGTACTGCTGTCAGCACACAAAAAGCCTACGTGAGGAATTAAGGACATGGAGCTGTTGGAGCAGGGCCAGGGGAGGGCTACTAAAATGATCCGAGGGCTGGAGCCCCTCTGCTATGGGGCCAGGCTGGGAGAGTTGGGGGGTTCAGCCTGGGAGAAGAGAAGGCTG